CAACCAAACAATCCAATTGATATTTATAATTTTAAACTCAATAACCTTTGATTTCAAAAACAAAGTTGCTGGAGAAGCTCAGAAGGTCTGGCAGCATCTGTGAAGGAAAAAACAGAGTTAATGTTTCAGGTCCGGTGTCCCGTCCTCAGAACTTTGTTTTTATTCCTGATTTACAGTATCCGCAGTTCTTTCGGCTTTTAACCTTTGATTTCAGCCCCATTCATGCAAAAGACAGACAGACAAACACAATTGAGGGATAAATAAAAGAGAAAAACAAACTGACCAGACTACTTAAGTGGTTTTAACGATGCATTGTTCCACATGCAAATATGATTGTTTCTTGGTTAATTTGTTGAAGATATTGTTGAGGGCCACTTTTTCCTGTTCACTTTGAAGAACTAAGTGAGACCTTCTATTCTAGTCTATGAAACTTAGTTTCTGCTCTCTGAATTTCTAATTACTAATAATGGGAGGTTAAGCAACGAGTTTCATACTATTGCAAAAATTATACAATAAAAATTATACAATTATAAAATAAAATATTATACAATAAAATAACTTCAATTTTCCTTCTGCATATTTGTAAGGATATTTTCAAATCTCAAATCATAGAATCCCTACAGTGTGGAAAAAGGCCCATCGGCCCAACAAGTCCACACCGAACCTCAGAGCATCCCACCCAGATCCATCCCCCTGTAACCCACCTAATCTACACATTCTTGAACACTATGGGCAATTTAGCACGGCCAATCCACCTAGCCTGTACATCTTTGGACTGTGGGAGGAAACTGGAGCACCCGGAGGAAAGCTACACAGACATGGGGAAAATGTGCAAACTCCACACAGACAGTCCCCCGAAGGTGGAATTGAACCTGGGTCCCTGGTGCTGTGAGGCAGCAGTGTTAACAACTGAACAATATCAGCCTCCTGAACACAAGGTGAATATACATTTCATGACATCTTAGAGTAGCACATCTTGCTGGTGTCAGTGGACGAGTGATTCTGAACCCCAGGCTAAACTTTGTGGGGACATGAGTTTAAATCTCACCAGAGCAGATGGTGAAACCTATATTCAATAAAAATCTGGCATAAAAAGTTAGCCGAGCGGTGACCATGTAACTACTGTCGATTGTCACAAAAGCCCATTTGGCTCACTAGTGTTCTTCAGAGAAGGAAATCTGTCAACTTTAGTTTGCACTATATGTAACTTATTTATCCTCGAGGTAATTAGGGATAGGCAATCAATTATGGTCAAGTCAATGATGCCCATTTGTACGAACAAAACAAACAAAATCACGGGAAAACTGAAAAATGCTTTACAAATCTGTGGAGCGAGAAATTCTGCTGTAGAGTGAACGTTTCAGGTTTGCAGGCTTTTATCAGAAGTGGGAGAAGTTAGAAATGTAATAGTGTGGCAAAAAAAATCGACTTCATACCACATACTTTGGGAAATGGATTTTAAGATAGAGGCAGATGGATGTGGGTTGGCACACCCTCAGCACTGACCCTCCGACAGTGTGGTGCTCGCTCAGCACTGACCCTCTGACAGTGCGGCGCTCCCTCCGCACTGACCCTCCAACAGTGCGGCTCTCCCTCAGCACTGACCCTCCGACAGTGCGGCACTCCCTCAGTACTGACCCTCCAACAGTGCGGCGCTCCCTCAGCACTGACCCTGTGACAGTGCGGCACTCCCTCAGCACTGATCCTCTAACAGTGCGGTGCTCCCTCAGCACTGACCCTCAGACAGTGCGGCGCTCCCTCAGCACTGACCCTCAGACAGTGCGGCGCTCCCTCAGCATTAACCCTGTGACAGTGCGGCGCTCCCTCAGCACTGACCCTGTGACAGTGCGGCGCTCCCTCAGCA